TTTTATTTCACCAGACAAAAAGTTAAAATACTGGGAGGTTCAATTTAATATTCGATACCTGGCACCTGATTCTTGCAGTCTCCTTTGTTAGTCATCATGGAATCAAGAGAGAGTTGTCTGGGCTTCTACAAATTCCACTTTGTCTTCAATATACCTGAAGACAGTAGTGTTCCAGAGAAAGATTATCATGGGGCAAGTAGGTGGCATGGTGGTTAAGGGTGCTGGACTCTCATATGTCCGACCACGGTTTGAGTCACAGATCTGGTGGCTTGCTTCCCCTCTTTCTCCCCCACACATCAAATTAAAATAAACAAATAAATACAGTTAATGAAAATTTAAAAAGCTTTAAAGAAAAAAGATATCGAATAGTTTTGGGCTGGCCTTGTGGCCTGATAGTTGAGGAAGACGGATCCCAAATCACCAACCATGGTTTGACTCCTGCCCCTATGGGCTGAGGGACAGGCCAGGTGTGTGTACATGTGTACCTAAGATTCTTAGAGAATGGGAAGTGGCAAGAGAGAGGATTACAACATGGCTATGCCCCATGGGGGTGGGGTAGGGTGGGGTGTTTTTCCCTCTGTCTCTTTCTGGCAAGTGCACACACCTTCTGAAATTAAAAAAAGATACTGAACAGTGTATTTAGTTATGGCAATAAACTGATGGAAGAAAAATTTCTTAAAAAGTTTTTTTAAAGCTTCATATGCTAAACTTGTATATTATTATTGTAAACTGTCCATAGTAGGCAGGGACATTCACTTATACATACCCCACTAAGCCCAAGTCAAGAGGAAAAACAAAAACTAAACAAATAAAGCCTAGTATACATCTGGATTGTTTGCTTTACCCAATAAAAGCAAAATACCTCCTGTTCTTATTGAAAATTTTGTTCAAAACATGTCAGTGATGACAAGTTAACAGAATGACAGAAAACTTTGATGACATCTTAGAGCATCAAAATATGAAAATGTATTTAGTTTGCACATTTGTTGGGTACTAGAAATGGAATTACTGGGACCAGCAGGTAGTGTAGTGATTAAGGTATTGGACTCCCACATGGTTGAGTGTGATTTGAGTCCTGGACCTGGTGGCTTGAAAAACCACACTGGGCACATGTGCATACATGCTCAAAATCCAGAGAGGAGGCTGGAGAAGGGATTGTGGGATGGCCAATCCCCCTGGAGGCTGATTTCTCACTTTCTCTGGCAAGCACACACATCCCTTGGCAAAAATCTAAAAATAATAATAATAAAAATAAAAATAAACTGAATTACTACATGAGTATTGGTGTGATAAATGGCATGTAGAGGCTGATCATTCATAGACTCTGGGCTTTAGTTTCTCTAACTAAGGATGGTAAACAAGCTAAAGGAATCCATATCCACCTCCAGGAATGATGTATATTTACAATGAAACAAAATGCTCTGAAAAGTTTCAAGTAGGGCAGCCTGGCATACAATAGGTGCTTAATAAATAAATTAAGTAAATGTTCATGCATTCAAGAAATATGCATACCTACTCTATGCCAGGAACTGTTCTTGTGCTTGAGCACAACAAAATAAAGCTTGTTACCTTTCAGAACTCATGTTCTAATTGGGGTGGCGAGAGAGAGAAACAAACATAATGGTCATGTGTTGCTTACCAATGGGGGTATATTCTGAGAAAGGCTTTGTTAAGTGATTTCATCATTGTATGAACACCATAGAGTGTACTTATACAAACCTAGATGGTATAGCCTGCTATATGCCTAGGTTCTATGGTATAGCCTATTATCTTTTTTTAATTTAAATTTTTTTGTTAGAGAGATTGTTGCTATAGGTTGTGTACACTCGACAGAGAGACAAAGTGAGAAATCATAGGATGGGGAGGGTGTCCACACCACGAACCCTTCTCCTCCAAACGATCCCTTCTCCTCCAGGGACTTTGGTCATGCACACGTGTGCCTGGCATGAGATTTAAGTCAACAGGTACAGGTCTTGAACTGTGGTCAACTATGTGGGAGTCCAGCAATGTAACCACTATGCCATCTGCTGGTCCCAATCTATTATAATCTTAACAAATTAGTAGTATATGAGTCCCATGTTGACTGAAAAGTATATATAAAAATATATATCTCTATAATATATAATTCTAATATACATTATATGTAATATATATTACAACATATATAAATATATTAATCACTAACATATTATTTATATACATACACATAAACATAGTATATATCAAGGCACTAAGTATTATGTGGGAAAAGGAGCCTAAGGTGGGGCTGGGAGATGATGAAGTTGTTTGCAATTTTAAAGAGAGTTGTGTTTGAGCAGGCCTCTTGGAGAAGTGACATTCAAATACTTTGCTCTTCTCTCTGTCCTTGTTAGCTGTCAATTTTTCCTCTTTACTCACTGCTTAGCAAGACTAATGTAGGTAGAATATCACCGATGATGTCACGCCCATCCTTCCTCGATTTCCTAAGGTTGTAACAGTTCTCACTTCTAGGAAGGTTTTGGCTATTCTTAATTAATGCTTTTTTTGAACTTCTTCCTCTACCACTAAAGCCTGTATTCATCAGAAAACCATACAAAATCACAAGTGAGCCTTTGAAGGAAAATTATGGCATACTAAAAACTAGAGTGTGGGGAAGGATAGGGATTTTTGGCTCAACTTTAATTAGTAACAGTATCATTACTTGACATTTTGGGGCTTATTATCATGTTATTTGTTTGTGAAGTAGTAAAATACACATCCTCCTGGGATGTTGGCATGGATCTCTAGTAATCATTTGTCTAAGTATATATTTTAGAATCCTCAGCAAATGTGTACATATTCAAGGATATTTGATACTGCATAGAGAGGATCACTACTTTATAATCCCTTCTTTTCTCTAAAGAATTTATTCCTTTATTTCAAAGTTGAAGAAATTTGAGTATTTTTTTAAATCTAAAATCCGTACTAGCAAGTTATAAATCTCATTTGCAGGTGGCTTTTGTAAAAAACACCTGGTTAGGTTGTGTTTCTATTAATAAAATATCACCAGGTAACATAAAGGAAATTCACTAACACTGCCAGTTGGTTTTAGCCATATTAAGCTTAAACTGTTGTTAGCTTTGATCACTGGAAAAGATAGGGATAAGAGCTCAATGAGGAACCAACGGATGGTGTAATGGTTATGTTACTGGACTCCAACTGCAGTTCGAGAACCAGACCTGGAGGCTTGAAACTCACTTCAGTACGTGTGTGTGTGCGCACGCGCGCGCCCAAGATTCCAAGAGAAGGGACTGTAGCATGGCCATCCCTCTGGGAGGGGAGAGTTTTTGCTTTTTTTTTTTCTCTCTCTCCTCTCTCTAGTGAGCGTACATGAAGAGATAGCAAAAATCTCTCTCTCAAAAAAAAAAAAAAAAAAAAAAAAAAGAACTCAATGAAGAGATGGTGAAAGACCTTTCCAGGTTTCCAGTCAGGTCTGTGAATGTAAAATTTCACTGCCTTCCCAGTGTAGCCAAAGCATGGCTAGCAGTCTTCACTTCATTTCACAGATTATATAAACTTGGCGTGTGGTGCTGTAAATTCTTAACCCACCACCATGACATCAAAAACATGACCCTAAAATATTAATGAGGAAATGGTGATTAAAATGATCCACAAACATTTAGTGAGCTTTTAGTATGTTGTTTTCCATTCACCAGGCACTTGGGAATGGAAAGCAACAAGGTACTGGTCTCTAATATTCAGTGTATTATAACCTTTCAAAAAGTAAAAATGATTTATACTACTTTCTGTCTGCAAATACACATAACCAAAATGATGAAATCCACACTTTCCCCCCAACTATCGGTTTTTTGGGGTAACAAGACATGCCAAAGTAGTTAGTGTTTATGGTACTGTACTTTGCTTGAGTAAAGACTAGTCATCACAAGTCAGAAAAGTTAAAAAGCAAAAAGAATGAAATCGAAGCATCTGATTGCTTGTCTCAAATTGATATCTAATCTTAGACCAGGAAGACAAATATCCCTATGCTCTTGGAGACAGGTGGAGGAACTTCAGTGTTCACCAGTTTTCATACCCTTACACATACTTTTTGACTCTACCTCATATTTACAACTATCTTCATTCCTCAATTAGGCAGTTTTTCCTTAACTGATGGTCAACAGGGTAGCGACCACTCCCCAAGGCTAAGAGTTTAGAAGAATGTTTTACTTAAACACTTTGTCAGCTCCCCACATCTCCTGCCTCACCATCTTCAGGATAATTGAAGTATTTACAGTCTCAATACAAATGCAAAACTTCAATATTCAAATTTCTAGGATTTAAAAAAATTGTCCTCTCCTAGGGAAACACATGAATAAAGAACATTTTTGGTCAGAGTCGCTGAGACCAAAAATGCTGTGTCAACCATATCTGCTACATTTACCTATAAGCGTAATTCACATGTTATAGTAAATTTTGTGTAATCAAATGAAGGGAATCAATAACCTTAAGGATTTCAATAGACAGAGTATGAAAATTTTATGCTTTTTATTCTTATCTAACAAGTCGATAAACCCTGATTTCAGAAACTCATTCAGACCTTGCACATCCAGAAAGTGAATTTTAGTGTTTAAAAAAATCGCTAAAAATGACCAAACTGTGGACCTTAAACATGGCTATAAATGAATTTAGAGGACTTTTAAAGTCCCAGGCGTTCAATGAGTCTAAGCTGCATTAAAACAAAAGTTGTTTTGTATTCTATTAATAGCAGATGATTAAACACATATCTTATTTCAACTGGAATTCATTTATAAGTACTTAAACTTACTAAACTGGCCACTAATCCGAAATCTATGTCTGTTTCTGGAAAAATTCTCTAATACATGCAAGTTAAGAGACTGACCGATGCATTCCTTAAGGTTAGGCCAATTTTATTAAAACCTCGGTGCTCTTTGACTCCAATAGCGTCACAAAATCAGCGATTTAAGTTCAGCTTAAAGTTGTGTGGGAAGAGCTGTAAGGGGGAGGGCGTTCTGAGTCTTCGTGGGAGCAGACTCGCCGGCCGCAGCGCCTCCACCGAGGCTCGGGCGCGGAGCTCGGCTCACCTGGCAGTTCCTAATTACAGGGGAGTTCGCCCCTACATTTTTGTGTGCTTTATTTTCTCGGAGGAAACTCAAGCTCGTCTCTCGGGTCTTGGAGAGCTCACGGCCAGCAGCCGGGCCATCGCGGCCCCCGAGCCCAAGGAGAAGGTGGGGAGGAAGTCGGGGCCCCTACGGACTGCACAGACTCCCACACCTCCGACTACGCCCAGGTTGGTGGTTGCAGGACGTGTGGCTCGTTGGGCGCCTCCGGCGCTAGGAGGGGACGGAAGGAGAGCGGGGGATGGGAAGGCCCTTCCCGCGTAAAGTCCCCTCCTCACCCTGAAGGTGAAAAGTCCCGACCTGCCCACGACAACGACGACGGAGGCTCCGGGGTTCCCTGTGCCTGCCTCGAACCCTGCACCCTGGCGCCCCAGGCTTACCCGGTAGGTGTTCTCGGTGAGCCGGCTCACTTCCTCTGGCCCCCGCGACATGGCTGCAGCTGCCCCGCGGGCGAGCG